GTTATTTTTTATGAAAACCGAAAAGCTAGTGCTCTATGAATGGGAATTCCCGTTTTGGACACAGGGGCTAATGAGATAATTGGTCGAATAAGGCCTCTTCAATTCTTTGTGGGTATTTTGGCAGTCAGGTATTAGGATACCGAATCAGATTCAACGATTTATTGTTCTTACAAGCGTATTTACATATTTTTCTTATCCTCTGCATCTACACTTGTAATCATGCTCTTCGCACTCTCAGGCCTTATCATCAGCACCCCAACGGGAAGCACGGCGTACTCCATGGCCGCAGGAGCCAGCATGTTGCATCCAAGCTTGCCAGCTATTATGGTGACGCCTATCAATCCGCATTCGCTAAGCTGCCGGCCGCTTGGCCTGCCAGTCGGTATACGACTGGAAGTTCAGCTTGCCGACGATGGCCGTTCCAAATTCGCCAATGTTGCCTGCGATGGACGGCCGTGTCGACGACGCCAGATCGTCCGAGGTGATTTAGTGTGCGTCACCGCCTCACCATACCCGGTACCTTGTCTCTGCAGCGAGAATCAAGTTAGTCTGCCTAATGTATCCAGCTACCAAATAGTCCTGTTTCACTCTCTACAGTTGCGCTCTTAATTTTCAATTACGCTTCTCTTTCGAGGTTTCTTAAATGAGCTATTTTGACTTCCTAGGGATAGCAAGGAGTAATAACTTTCCGCTGATCCATTCATCATAATTTCTTCACTTTAGTACAACAACTTTAAATTCGGCCTCCTTTGGATTCGTTATTCTTTTTAGACTTGACCAAACCAATACATATGCCGAATGAGTTGAGCTGGTTTCATTTCCTGTGAAAATATGTGATAAGATTCGTAGACCGATCCTGCAAAAAGGCCATGGCGGATTTCCTTGGTCTCTATTTGACCTTCCTGAAATATTCATATTGACGAAGTTCTCAACACCCTCTTTCAGTTACGTTTAAGACGTGCTGAGCTTTCTTCTGTCATGCCACTTGACTGGCATCACTACAGCTGGACATCATTTCTACAACCATATTTGTACTCCAATAAAATATGAATTTATGGAGATACACAATTATCTGCTTATTTTATGTTTATGCACGTGCCTATATACGTGCTTACGTGTTGACACCCTCGCCACCAGCGCTAGCTCCGTGCAAAAAAATGAAGCTTAACATCTCTCTTGAGCATTCTAAGTTTTATTGTCTTCTTTGCTCGTGGAAGTGCATATTTACTATTATGTAATCCTGAACACTTTTCTCGTTTAGTTAAGCTTTCTGTGTGAACTTGCTTGTGTATAAAGTCTGTAACTCTTAGAACCACTAACGATTGGTTAGTTTATTCAATTACTTTTTTAGGTGGCTCGATACTATTTTCAGGCCTATCAACCAAGTGTAAAGGATTCCTACTTAAATTTCTATCTCCCCTCTTTTCATTCAACCTATATCCAAATATTTTTAGTTCTATATCAGCAGCATAATCGCCGCAACCATCCTTTGGCTACAGATCTCCTTAACATATTGGTGGTCATATGAACACATGCTTTTATATCAGCCTGGCCTGGAGGAAGGTTAACATAACCAAAGAAGGCTTAAAAGTTTCTTTGAAAATTTACCTGTACATTTGCCTATCTTTTTATAAAGCAGGCATTAAGGCAGTCAGGGCGTGTGAAAAGGTCTCAGGATCCTTATTGCGTCCCAAAAGTTTTATTTCCCACTAAACTTATATGATTTTCAATTAAGCTTTGAGGACAATTACTATAAAGCAATAAATTTTTTATTTTTAGTGTTTTCATCTGCCACCCTCATATTCCTTATATTCACTGGGGA